TGGGAGCCGATGCCCTCTTCTGGTGTGCAGGCATGCATGTAGACAGAGCACCTATATACACAAAATATGTAGATAAATAAATCTTTTTAAAAACCAGTTAAACTAAACCGGGTGTGGTGGCTTTTGTCTGTAATCCTAATCCAGGTACTGGGCACTGGAGGGGATGGGGCCTGAGGCAGGAGAATTACTGTGGGTTCAAGTGCAGTCTGAGCTATAAAGTCAGAATCTATCTCATTACTCCCAAATACATAAAAATAAACAATATTATTTGAAATTAATATTGTTAAATTAAAATTAAACAATATTATATGAAAACATTCGTACATTTATGATAGTCCCCTATTAGAATCTTTCGGTGGTTTAAAGTCCCAAGTCTTCACACGACTTGAACACTTTTGCTTCTCCTGTTTATTTCCTGTAACATCCCCTCCTCTGTCCAGTCTCTCTCCCCCCCCTCTCTCACTCTCTCCTCTCCTCTCTCTCCTCTCTTATCCTCTTACAGGACTAGTAGACTTGAGGTCCTTGCACTTTCTGTCCCTTCTAGTTGGGATACTTCCTGGAGACTTTTTCATGTCTGGCTCTATTTCAGTATTGGCACCTCAGTTCCGATGATGCCACTTCCTAAAGAGCCCCTTGACCTCCTTGGCCCTTCAAGCTAAGTTATCCCCCTTTGGTTTCTACGAGGCGACCCTGCTCTGTTTTCCTTGTAGCTCTCCTCACGATCTGAAGTTTCTTGTTTGCTGATTTGTGGGGAGTAACTGCCTCTTCCACACTCAGTGAAGATGCTGGGTGTCAATCTTGTGCAGCTGGATGCTTCGTGCCCTGCGGGGACCACGGGCCTGGTGCGTGACAATTAGTAAGGAACAGAAAGAATGGATAGTGGGTGGGGCTATGGGAAGCTGAGAGTCCCTGTGAAGTTCTGCTGTCGTCGGTGGCTATTGCCAGCTGAGGAACAGAACCCTGGTTGGCCAATAGCTGAGGTGTCAGCCTTGAGGCCTTCAAGATGTAAAAGCAGCTAAGTGGTGGGAGGTTTGGAAGGGTGCTTGGGACTGAAGGTTGGGGAGACCCGGGAGTGGACGTGGCGTCACCTACCGCTTCTCATTTCCATAGGATTTCTGAGCCACCTTGGCATGCAGGATCCACACAGTCTGCTCACATCTTTGCTGCAGGCATGTCCGCACACCTTCCCTCAGGATGGTGGCATGCTCTGGGGGTGACCTAGGAATGGCAATGGGCCAACCAGCCCCAGGAAGGAGAGTCAAGGGTTGAATCGGCACAAAGCTGAAGTGGAAGACTGGGGTTGATTAACATTCCCCAAGGGCTCTGGGGAAGAAATGTTAGGCAAAGGTGAGGTCTTGGGTCATGGGCTAAATAGTTGTGCTCCATGAAGCCTATACAGAGCCCGCCAGGATCACCCAGGTGCTGCACTGCGTGGGTGGCTTCCTGGCTGCCTTTAAAAGCCCTACATTTGGTCTTCAGATGGAGGTGGGCTTTGTGGGAATGGTAATTAAGCCTTCACCCCAGGAGAATACACAAGAGGAAACGGCCTTTGCCGGCTCCAGGTCCAGGGTACAATCTCAATTCCAGCAAACAGACCAGTGCAAATGTGAATGAGGTCCCAAGCCTCGTGAGCAGGATGGGGATGGATCTGAGCCTTTCTAATGCCCAAACAACACCCTGGCTTGTTGCAACGGGGATTTTCCCTTCTTTGAACACGGGGAGTTAGGACATTGGCCTTGTAGAGTGAGCTGCTTCAGCTCTCTGGGGTCTGTTGCTTGTCAGTCTTGAGAGTTTAGCCGGTGAGGATGGGTTCTCACAAAGTTTACGCAATTAAAGGGAGCATGGTGGGAGATATTCGGGAAATTCGCAGGTTGGGCCCTGGAAAGAGCTAAGAACTCGGAGGCTGTCCGTGTGAGTCCTTTTACTCTCTTAGAAGGGCCAAATCCCGGCCTTTCATCACTCCTGGAAGGGACAGCGGAGGGCAAGAACCAGGCGCGTCCTCCGAAGCCCAGCCAGGCCAAGGCGGCTGCCAGGACCGCTCCGCCTCTTGGGGCTCTCCTCTGGGAAGTGTCTCGTGTAGGATTCCAGAGCATTCCGGCTGCCGGGAGTGTCGCCACCCGACTCCAGCTGTAGCCTAATTCCGGCCCGCAGCTCGCGCCTGCAGCTCCGGGAGTAGCAGGGCAAGGGGGCGCCGCTCTTTCCCAGCCCGGGTGCTCAGAGGAAGGGGGAGATCGCCCCCTGCCAGTGGGAGGGGTCGCAGCCCGCGCTCCCCCTCCCCACCCGCCCGCCCCAGGTTAAATGCAGCTGCCGCCTCGCCTCGCTCTAGCTGTCTGGCGGTCCCCACCTAGGGCAAGCTGCCCACGCCGTTACCTGGTCCAGCTCCCCAGGAGGCTTGGCCCGTCGCTCTGCAGCCGCGCCTCTGAGCTGTCCCGCAGGCTCAGGTGAGTCAAAGGGCCCGGGGGCACCGAGGGGTCTGCAGGGAAAGCCGGCGGAAAAGCCCGTGGGGGGACAGTGCTTAACTGCCTACGTGCCCACATCTAACCTGCAGTAGTGCCTTTTCCGATGCCCGATGCCCATCCAGCAAAGGCGACCACACACAGGCCCTCCTTCTCTAATCTCCTCCCTCTAGGTTCTGGCACCTTCCCTAAGTGTCCGTCCATTCCTGGTCAGCTCTTGACCTCATAGACCTCCCCCATCCTTGGGAATTCACGTTCCCTACCCTAAGGGCATCGGAGAAACTTCCTCTTCAATGTAAGGATTGACTCTTGAGATCTAGGAGAACTGGGGTCCAGTGTCAGTCCAGTGGTGGGGGCCACCACTTCCAAGTAAGCCCTCGATCGATGACTCCCTTTGCCCTCCCTGGACCGACTTTCCTCTAGGGGAACGGGCAGGTTTGGAAAGTTGAAGTTGAGAGATAGCTACTTTGACTTTCTAAAGATTCCTGGGGTGCAGGTGAGGTTTTAGCAAGTGCGTGTTGACTTAGGTCAAGAGCGGGGTAAGAGGGACATAGTCAAGAGCCAACACTGAGTCTCAAAGGTCCCCTGGACCTTTACTCAGATGGCAACCCCGAATGCTATGGCCCACTTTAGAAAAGGCACCCGCTACCTTCTACCTCCACCAGCAAGCGGCTGGCACGTCTTGCTAGCTCAGTCACCCTACCACGACAGGCCCCTGCAGAGGGATTTTTGTTCTCCTACCCTGCCTGGAAAGCCAGAAGGGAGAAGAAACCCGGATGGGAAGGCAGTCTGGAGCCAGAGACGCACACCGGCCTTGCTCAGAATGGGCCCATTCAAGGAGGTGGGGGGCGGGGCGGCGGCGGGTTCGGGGGCGCTGGCCTGCTCTGCCAGGAACCAGCGACAGAAAAATGGATAGAGCAGGCTCAACGTGCCGTGTGGGGGTGGGGTAGGGAACGGAAGGAAGGCTTAGTGACTCCTAGGTGCCAGGGAACCAGGCGGCTCTGGAGGAAGAGAGAGGGGCCTAGATTTAGTTCTGTGCCTGGAGCCCAGCTGGCAGCCTTATTGGGCCCCAAATTTTCCATTCGTACAGTGTGTGTGTGTGTGTGTGTGTGTGTGTGTGTGTGTGTGTGTGTCTGTCTGTCTGTCTGTCTGTCTGTCCGTCCATGTCGTTCTCAGGGGACCTCGCGCAGGAGGGTGAAGGCTCACCTGTTGTCCCCATGGGGTCCATGGCCGCTGGTCGAGGCCCCAGCCTCTCTCTCTCTCGCTGCCCTCTGGGCACGTCTAGTACCACTGTCTTCCGTACCCTCCACACCTCTGCCCCCAACCCTCGCACTGGATATATTTCATCCAAGCCTTATCTTCAAGGTCCCGGGGCTCCCCAGGCGCCTGTTTGCTCTGGGCAGGGACACCTGCTGGGCAGATGTGGGCTTCCCACGGCTGCAGAAAGCCAGACCCGGAAGGCGCCCCCTGGCGGCCTCTCCTAAGGGCAGGCAGGTAACAAAGACGTTGAGGTGGTTCTTGTTCCTGGCCCACTCACTGGCTTGCCAGAAGACTCTAGAACCCAAAGGGCTGCTCTTCTCGGGGTGGGGGAGGAGGTGGGGAATGGCTTTTCTCTGCAGAAGAAGAGAGTACCACCTTGGCTGACTCACAGGCCAGACGGACAGGATTAGATCACAGTGTAGCGAGGTTGGCCAGCAGGATTTAGTTTCTTTAAGCCTCTATTTCTGAATAGGTACAACCAGGCCAGCAACAGCTGTGAGTGTCAGAACTGGGTAGAGAGTTAATGCCACATCGAATGAGTGTGAAACATTTAACGCTGTACCTGGTTGGTATTTAGAAAAGGCTTCTCTTGGGGACCAACAAGGTAGCTGAGTGGGGAAAGATGCTTGCTGTCAAGACTGACCGCCGGAGTTCAGTACCACCTGATCATGGAACCTGCACAATGGAAGGAGAGAGCCGACTTCAGTGAACTGCCCTTTGACCTCTGCACGTGTGTGTCGTAGTGTGTGCACACACACACAACAAAAAAGTCCATGTAAAACATCTTTTTATAAAGGCATTTATCCCCCTTTGAATTGTATATGTTTTTGTCTACTCTTTATTTACTTGGTGTCCTGTAGTTCTGCAAAATGTCATTTTCTACTAAGACTCTTCTGTGAATTTCATCAATCCCAGAGTGGTGACATTAAAAAATGATTATATGACTTTTGTTTCGAGGCAGGGTCTTTACTATGTAGCCCTGGCTGGCGTGGAACTGGCTATGTAGACCAGGCTGGCCTCAAACTCACAGAGATCTGCCTGCCTTTGCCTCCTGAGTGTTCAACATGGCTGCAAGACATTTTTAACATACACGGAAACAAAGTGCACACCCCCTGGAGTAAGAGTGAGGTGGAAACTGTTGCTTTATTACCTCCAGGCTGTGACACTTCGGGTCTTCACCCTACAAGCACCATGAGAGGCCTTCTTTGCTGGCTGCTGCCTCTGCTGCTGTTCTTTCTCCAGCCCTGGGAAAGCCAGCTCCAGTCTGCAGGTGAGCTGGGGCCCAGCCCTCATCATGGGAGGAGGGGGCAGAAACAGTTCCTTCATCCACTGGGAGCCAGCACTGCTGGAGAAGGAAAAGCAAGGGCTTGGGGACACTCTGGCCTGGATTTGGGCTTCCCACCTGCAGTATGTGGTGTAGTTTTGGGTTCATGCAGAGCGGATCACCTGGTGTTGCATTTTATTGAAACATATGGAAAACATGGAAAAATCAGGAGATTCCACTTAAAACCCCTGTTTCAGAATTTTCTTGAAAAAAAAAAAAAAAACAAAACTAAAAGGACCTGCTAAATGTCCAGCCCACTTGGATATATGACAATACGTTGCTGGGACAACCCACGTTAGCGTGGATACAGGGGCTTGTGGTGTCTTAGGCATAATCAAACCAGTTCACTCATTCATGGTATCCGGCTGGTCCATGTAGGCACTGGAGATTGGGACATTTCTTTGCCCACTCCTCAATATATAATGCAGACTCAGAACCGCCCCCAGAGCTGTATGCAAGGAACGTGTGCGATTTCCTGGGTCAGGTACCCGCCCCCCTCCCCGCCAATGATGGATGAGTGACTGTATCCTAGCCATGTTTGTTAGGCTAATATGCTGTTTCATTCGCATAACAGCATTTTTTTTTTCCTGGCTTTTCCTGAGAGGTCAGCTTTAGTTGAGAGTTTAGAGAGTCCTTTCCCATCTCCCTGCAGGTCCTAGGTGCTATACTGGGCCACTGGATTTGGTGTTCGTGATTGATAGCTCCCGCAGCGTGCGTCCTTTCGAGTTCGAGACCATGCGTCAGTTTCTAGTGGGCCTCCTCCGTAGCCTGGACGTGGGGCTGAACGCCACACGCGTTGGTGTGATCCAGTATTCTAGCCAAGTGCAGAGCGTGTTTCCCCTGGGCGCCTTCTCGCGCCGCGAGGACATGGAGCGCGCCATCCGCGCCGTGGTTCCGCTGGCACAGGGCACCATGACCGGACTGGCGATCCAGTATGCCATGAACGTGGCCTTCAGCGAGGCCGAAGGTGCGCGCCCGCCGGAGGAGCGAGTGCCGCGGGTCTTGGTCATCGTGACCGACGGGCGACCTCAAGACCGAGTGGCCGAAGTGGCCGCGCAGGCGCGTGCCCGCGGCATTGAGATCTATGCGGTGGGGGTGCAGCGAGCCGACGTGGGATCTCTACGCGCCATGGCTTCGCCGCCGCTGGACCAGCACGTCTTCTTGGTGGAGTCCTTCGATCTCATCCAGGAGTTTGGCCTGCAGTTCCAGGGCCGGCTGTGTGGTGAGTTAGAGCTGCGATCGATCTCCGCTACAGATGCTACTTTCTAGTTTGCACCGTTACAGACAATCCCTCTCGTCCGGGTGGCCCGGAGTACTAGTATGTCAACTTTACTCCGCCCTCCAGCTACAGTAGCGATGTTTTCGCCTGCAGGGTGGTGTATCACATTTGAGGTTTGGTCCCACAACACTCAGCGGCCAGTTGTGCTGGATCAGGGACTAGCTATGTACTTTGCGTGTGTGTCACAAGCTAAATGTCAAACTCCAACACTAAATGTCTTTTAAACAAGAATCACCTCTGGACAGTGTTGGCACACGTCTTTACCCAGCACCCGGGAGACAGAGGCAGGGGGATCTCTGTGAGTTCGAGGCCAGCCTGGTCTATAGAGTGAGTTCCAGGACAGCCAGAGCTGTTATTCAGAGAAACCCTGTCTCAAACAAAGAAACAGACAAACAGAATTACTAACCCTCAAAATTGAGAGTATGGTCTGTCAGGAGTCATGCTCCGCCCACCAGAGTGTGGTTCCTCCCACTCTAAGCTCCCCCCCCCCAATTTACAAAAGCTACGAGAACTCCCTTAGTTACTTTTGTGGTGGGGGTGAGGGCGGGGGAGACAACGACAAGGACAGGATTTCTTGTAACCTAGATTGGCCTTGAAATCGATTTGTAGCTGAGGCTGACCTTGAATTTCTGATCTTCTTGACTCCACCTCCTAAACGCTGAGATTAACAGGCATGCTGGGCTAGCTTTGCACTCACTCTCAGGTTGATTTACTCCATCCTCCTGCACAACCCGACCTCTGTGTGGTCCTATTCTAGCCCCGCCCTCTTCATACAGGGCGTATCCTTTTCTGAGACTGTTCAAAGGGACTGCTTAAGTCTCGTTCTTCCCCTAACCCTTTCACCTGGACTGGCCCTCTCAAAGAACCAAATCCATACCCTACCTAAGTCCATCCTTGGGTATTTGTTCAGACTCTACCCCTACCCTACCATTGAGCCCTCTCCTTGGACACCTCTGCACTCTGCTCCCTGCTGATTCTCTCCTTGTGTGTCCTCAGGGAAGGACCTGTGTGCTGAGTGGGGCCATGGTTGCCAACACCAGTGTGTCAACGCTCCAGGAACCTTCTACTGCACCTGCAGCTCTGGCTACAGGCTAGCACCGGACAACAAGAACTGTGTGGGTGAGCGCTGTCTCCGTCCTGCAGCCTCATTGTTCCTGAGCCTTCTTGGGCTGCCCAGCACCACAGCAAGATTTTAGCAAGTCCTTTGGAAGTAGAAGCACACCCCCTTCACCTTACAAACCATAGAAAGAGGGAATATTACTTAGGGCCACACAAGCCTTTGGTGGACCAGAGCTAGGAGTCTTGACCCGCCACAGTTAAATGTGGGTTTTGTACCCTTTCTCCTCCCTTGGGCATGGTCTCCTACCTGGCTCCAGTCCACCTCCCAGACTTGTTTCTTCTGTCTCCTCCCAGCCCCCCTCCCACCCCCTTCCAGTTTCTGTTACTTAGACACCATTGGGATATCTTCAGCTGGGCGGCCGTCTCCACTCTCCACCCTGGATGTCCTCCATTCTGTACCTTAGTTCTCTCTGTGGAGCCTCCTCTCTGCAAATCTGTTTTTTTTTTCTTTAACTTTAATAATCTGAAAAGCTATGATGTGTGATGCTTTGCTTAGGTGATTGGGTTTTTCTTTTTGGTGAGAATATGGCTTAAAAAACATATATGAATATATGGGTTCTTTTTGGTGAGCATATTTTGGTGAGTATATTTCTGTGACTGTGTTTTCTACCACACACAGAGTGCTAATTATGTCAGAACTTGTGTTAGGAGCATTCTATACATTCACAGAAACTAGTTCCACAATTTTAGCTTCAAAATCTGGAAAAAGAGGTCATGTGCTCCCAATAACCCAGATACCACCTGGGTCTTCTTGTGTTTAGAAACTTGAAAAGACTTCAGGGAACTGGAGAGATGGCTCAGTGGTTAGGAGCATTTGCTACACAATCATGAAGACTGGGATTTTGATCTCAGCACTCTGGAACCAGACCGGCACCTGGCAAATGCCTATAACTCCAGCTCTGACGTGGGCAGAGACAGAAGATCCCTGGTGCCTGCTGGTTTCCAGCACAGGCGAGAAAACTGGAGCTCCAGGTCCAGGGAGAGATGTTGCCTCAAAGGAATAAGTGGAGAGGGAAGAGGAAGACATCCAACACCTTTTCTGGTCTGAGTGCACACCAGTACACACACACACACACACACACACACACACACACACACACACACACACACACACTAATAAATATTCAACAGTCAAACTTTAAAAAAGTTGGATATGTACCCTCATTTGATTACTGTGGACATTGTTTTCCTAAGGTATCTGGAAAGTACATTCTGGTAGCTATAGCTTGCTCTGGGTTTCTGTTCACTTTCCTTCCCCTTCCTCCTTTGTCTTTCCCTTTTTCCTCCCCTCCCCTCCCTCTGTTCCCCTCCCCTCCCCTCATCTCTTCTGTCTCTCCTGCCTCTCCCTTACTTTCTTGGTGTGTGTCTCATTCTGGCCTCAAATTAATGACCCTCCTGCCTTAACCTTCAGAGTATGGAGATAACTGATACACCCCACCATGCCTCACCTTGCTGCATTTTTTTAACTTATGATCTTTCCTCAAATTTTCAGTCCCACATGGCCACATTGTTACAGTCTTTGGTTTACACACGTGTGCACAGAAGGCGCTGCTTTCCTATGTATGTGTACACGTGTTCATTTTGTTAAAGGTGGAAGTGGGCAGGGATATGAGGAATGTAAAAGCCAAACACACAAAGAAAAGCAACATTACTTGTAATTGTGACTAGATGCCCTTGTTTCTGGAAGCCCTCAATTATCCCACTACAGGGATTTTCCCATTGCCGTCTTTAGCCCCCAGGGCTATGAAACGTCATCCTATTTGTGACATTTCCCCCACCCTCTCCACTGCAGTCCCCTTTCCAGGAATCCCAAATTTTCACAACTCCCCCCCAGTTCAGATCTAGGGAGAGATCTTTGCATATCCAAACCATCAAAGTAATCCATCCCACAACAGATCTCCCTCCTGCCTCTTCAGAAAGAAGTAGGAAGCAGCAATTGCTTTTTCCTACTGGGTTTCCATTTTGCAGAGAGTGAATAGTTGGATAGGCAAAGATCCTGCTCCTCACACTCTGCTGTGGGCCACTGAGCTTGTGGAGGATGGGGTTCTCCTTCACATGCTGGACTCAGCAGAGGGCCCTTTGGCTCTGGGATGTGTCCAAGATTTAAATCAGAAATGTCACCGGACCCTGTAGAAAGAAGTCTACAAATGTCTGGGTAGCACACCAGACTAATTAATTATGAACTTTGGGGTAGGGGTAAGGCATGGGTGTTAACATTTTTTTTTTAATTAAAATAACTTGGTGTACGTATGTGTATGCAAATGTCTATGGGGGGTCAGAGGTCAATGTCAAGTAACCACTCCCCACCTCATCATTACTGAACAATTTTTAATTATTATTAGTGTGTATGATGTGTGAGAGCAGGTGTGTGTGTGTGTGTGTGTGTGTGTGTGTGTGTGTGTGTGTGTGTGTGTGACAGCGTGCATGTGGAGGTCAGAGGACAACTCTGTGGACTTGATTCTCTTCCTTCACCTTTAAATGGGTTTTGAACTTAGGTCATAGATTTGTGAGGCAAATGTTGTGTTACCCATGGAGCCATCTTCTGGAATACTCCGCTTTATTTATCTATCTATCTATCTATCTATCTATCTATCTATCTATCTATCTATCTTTTTTCTTTTCTTTTCTCCTCCTCCTCCTCCTCCTTCTTCTTCTTCTTCGACAGGGTTTCTCTGTGTAGCCCTAGCTGTCCTAGAACTCTCTCTATAGACCAGGCTGGCCTCGAATTCACAGAGCTCTGCTGCCTCGGCCTCCCGAGTGCTGAGATTAAAGGCATGTGCCCCCCCCCCCAAAACCCCAGCTCCACCTTATTTTTTTGAGACCAGTCCTCTCACTGAGTCTAGAGCTCACCAGTCAGCTAGTACGGTTAGCGGTGGCCTCTGGAGATTTGCCTGTCTCTGCCCATCTCAGGGCTAGGGTTACAGCCACTACACCCAGCTCATATCGATGCCAGGGATCCAAACTCAGGTACTCATGCTTCTGCAGCAGACACTTTACAGACTGAGCCGCCTCCCTGGTCCTCAGCCCCGGGTTTTGTTAAAGAACCCCTCCGAGGGTTGTGTGGCTACGCTGTGAAATACAGCCCTTATCGAAGACCCCTTCTTCTTCCCAGCCATGGACCTCTGTGCTGAAGGAACCCATGGTTGTGAACACATCTGTGTCAATTCCCTGGATTCCTATTTCTGTCGTTGTCGAGCTGGCTTTACACTCCAGCAGGACCAGAGGAGCTGCAGGGGTACGTAAACCCTGCTCACCCACCCCTGTGAGCATCCTAGACTGTGGCCCCTGATGGACTACACCCAGAAGTGATATCTTGCTATTTCTTCCTTCCTTCAGTGATCGACTACTGCAGCTTTGGAAACCATAGCTGCCAGCACGAATGTGTGAACACCCTCGTGGGGCCACAGTGCCGCTGCAGAGAGGGCCACGACCTGCTGCCTGACGGGAGGAGCTGTCGGGGTGAGGAGGTGTCTCTCATATTTGCAGGGAATAGTAAGGGATTCTAGGTGCTGGGGTCTAACCTGACTCATCCTACCTGGTGTCTCCTTTAAGTCAGGGACTTCTGCAATGGCGTCGATCATGGCTGCGAGTTCCAGTGTGTGAGTGAGGGTCTTTCCTTCCGCTGCCTGTGTCCTGAGGGGAGGCGACTTCAGGCTGATGGCAAGAGCTGTGACCGTGAGTTATAGGCAGAGGGTCTGCTCTTGCTCCATTGCCTACAATCTGAACCTCCTCAATGCCCTTGCTACAACCCCAAAGATGTGGTGTGGATGTTCGTATGCTGGGGAGTGAACCTTGTGCCCAGGGTCTGTTCCAACCAGGCCTCTACCTTGCTGCCAAGACTGATTTCAAAATCTGTATCTAATCATATTTCTCCTTCACTCAAAATCCTTTTGTGGCTCACCAGTGTCTACAAAATAAAGATCAAATGCCTTTCCCTTGAGTTTTTCCAGTGCTGGGCACAACCACATTAATGGATAATGAAACCAAATTAGTGGGTTACAATCAGCATTTAAGGGAAAGAAGAGAAAATAGTTTCCTGAATTTAGGAAAGTTAAGTATTGCTTCATGAAGCAGAAGTTTAGTTACATGTAAGAATGTGAAATGCGCCATAATATATTATTATTCTCGTTTTTCATTGTGGGCTGAGGTCAATTTTGAAACTATCACTTAAGCTCATTACCATTCAGCTTTAGCCAACTCTTTAGCCCATCTCTTGCCACACTTGAACATTTTAGTCACACTGGCCTGTCCCTTCTCGAATGTGTCGTGAGCTTCCCAGCTCCCATTCCTTTGTACATGCTTCTATCAACCTTCTAGAATGTCCCTTCTTGTCTTGGCAAAGTCCTAGTCAGTGTTCAAGACTGCATTAGTCCATTCAGGTTAGTATGTCACGGTACTGTTGTGTGTTGCTACAATGGAAAAGCTCACAGCTGAGTGACTTATAAAGAACGGAGCTTATGTGACACACGATCTGTAGATCTGAGAGCACAGTCTCAACATCTCAGTGTTGGTGACAGCCACAGGACAAGAGCCCTTGAGAGCGAAGAGTGTGTGTGTGCAAGGGATCAAATACAGGAGGTGGCCATCCTTTGTAACCATTCACTGGCAGGGCCATTAATCTTGTCTCTTGAGACCTACTCCATTCTTTCATACAGGCATTCATTTCTTCCTAGGGTGGTACTCTGTGACCTAATTATCTCTCAGAAGGCCTGTTATGGTTTGGATATAAAGTGCTCCCTCTCAAGGATCATGTATCAAAGGCTTGGTCCTTAATGCAAAAATGTTCAGAGCCTGGGCTTCTTGGAAGTGATTGAATCACAGGGGTTTTGCCTTTATTAATTGATTAATCCAAGCACAGATTAAATATGGGCGTAGATTTTTTTGGCTGTTGGGAGG